TGAATATTATCAACAAGCAAAAATAGTCAATATGGTGTTAACATCAGAAAATAATATATTGCAATATTCCAATATTCCAATTTTTAATTAGGATGGAACAAAGAAGCACATGTCTTTTGTCATTGATCAAATAAAGGGGAAATGTTTCTGTAATTAATAGTTTAGCTCATTTTCACAATACTCAGCACAGAGTCATAAACTGATGCTAGAAAAAGAATAGGGAAGTAACTTCAATTAATCATTCCTCATTTAGAACATCTTGTTAGAACATCAAAACAACTAAATTTTGTAAGTGTTTCCATGCATCATCTTACACACAAAACAGAAAATTACTGAGACAAGAAGTTTGAGTGGTTTTGAACACAGAAAAAGCATTAAACCAAATAACCAGGCTTAGCAGTAGATTTTAAGTCAGTCTATGAGGAATCACACTTAAAACCTTCCCACCAAATCACATCATCCACTCCTGAACATTCCAATCTAAACTCTAGTCTACACAAGGAGCATATAACACAAATATCAAGTATGTCCCCTAAAAAAATACAACCAAAATGACCCCGTGCAGGCTAATAGCCAACATGTGAATGCGATGATATGAAGAACTATCTCATTTTGATTCACTTAAGCACATGCACTTTATTTGTAACTGCATTCCCTTGGCCCGTTGGCTCAACATGACATGACGCACAATATCATCTTAAAGAATGAACTAATCACCATAATCATAAACATAACAAAACAACAAAGTAAATGCATGCTCCACTTTTATTAAAAGTTCAACAAGGAGCTTCACATAACCCTCAATAAAAATACAAAAACAAACTAACATAGTGGAATCGTGGCAAGGATCAGAATGAAGGTCATAATCATTGCAGGAAGCACATTGGTGGCATAGCAGTGATTGAAGTAAGGGCACGCAAAAAAATGTGGGGAGAAGTCTAGGTTGTTATTCCATACTAGAATGCAACCCACGCCTTTTCTACAACCCCTTTAAACAAGTTAATTTTGTTGTAGAAGAAGTTGCGAGTGTCACAATGCAATTACTCAGCAAGGGACAGGGGCCTTCTTCACTTCTCCTTAAACCTCAAACACTGCCACCACAAAACCAATGTGTATTCTCTCTGCTCAAACCTTTTACTATACCCATCATTTCCATGCCATTTCGAAACTCATTTCACGCTCGGAGAGAGAGACCCAGAAGAGATAACATGCAAACTTTATTTTCAAACGTATTAAAAATGGCACCTTTGCCCTTTATCCTGCCCAGAAAAAAAAAAGGATTTTTTGAAACTTTGGATAGTGAATGAAGAACAAAGTTGTAGCATTGTTGAGAAAGAGGAAAAGGGTTGTCGGAACAAGAGGAAAAGAGGGGCAGCGCCGCCAGATAAAAGAGGGTGGAAGGATGAAGTAGAAGAAGAAGAAGAACACGCGGGTTATGGATTCAGAGAAGCCCAAAACACAAATGGATCATGGTTGGACTGGTCCAATTTCTGTTCTTTCACCATTAGCCCATTGCATGTCCAATGAAATAAAAGAAGCGCAACAACACACTTTTTATTTTTAATGCTGGAAAAAAATTAATATATTTTTAATTATTAATTATAATTTATTAAAAAAATGAAAAAAATATTAAATTAAATGTAAATTTACATATTTTTTTATAATTTTAATGAATTAATAAAAGATTATTAAAAAAAATTAGGTTAGCATCGTCTTTTTAATAATTTTGTTATTATATGCAAATCCACACCTGCCACATGGCATATGCATTAGTAACAAAAAAGTTGTGTAAGCTTTTTTAAGATGAAAATTAAATATTTTAATAAAAACAAGTGTTATAATTTTCATAAATACATATTTATATAAATATTAGTATCATTAAAATTTATTTAAAATTATAAAATTACACATGAAGAACATTGAGTTATGAGTAAGATTTACATATTTTTTTATTGTTAAATAAATTTTAATTAATTACAAAAACCTCAATCTGCTCCTTGTTATCGTGTAGAGGGTTGAAGTATTAAATCAAGATAAGCCTTTCTAACTATGCTATTTTCCAAGATTAGTTCTAACACTTACTAGAATTTGTTTTACGGCCACCTTTTGGTGAATCTTTAAATTGCAATAACATTCAACAATAAATTGTTGCTGCATAAACTATACCCTCTTATTCCTGTTAACTTAAGAATTGAAATTGATGTTTTTTAGCAAATAAATGTATAAATCATTTTGCAATGCTCTGTCATTTAGAAAAAAAAATGCATTACTCTTTTACTGTAGGAATGCTTACTCAGTGCTTAGATAACAATAGATAGATTAGCATTATTAATAAGATAATCAAATTTTCTTTTTCCTAAGCACCTCTAGTATGATAAAAAAAAATTAATATTTTTATAAGACACTGATTTCTTTATATATAAAATTATGAATGTAGCACTACATGTAATGTTTCTTTTTTATTTTCATATATTTATATACATTGTCATGCATAATTCCTTTTTATATACATAATATCATGTGAATGTTGTTTGTGTATTTTAAATTGTTCAAATTTTATATGCTGCTATTAAATGATATGAAATTTTTGGATAAACAATTGAGATAATTAATTATAATACTTAAAATTATCTATACAACATAAAAACTTATTATTTTAGATGACTATATGGTTTACTCACTTAAATATAAATATAACTTTTAAAAAAGAAAACCTGATGTGTATGTTAAAGATGTAAATATATAAATTGAGACAATAATCACTTTTATATTTAAATTAAAAATAAATTATTTATCATTAATAATAAATATATTATGTTTAATAAGATTAAATTAAAAATATATAAAAATATAAATATCAAATAAATTTAAACTATGATTAAATAAAAAATAAAAAAACTAATACTTAAATATGCTTTTATTTAACATGGTTCTTATGTTTTCATTTAAAAATTAATACTCATAAATTATATATATATATATATATATATACATTTTTTACATTACACAATTATTGTTCAAATAAAATACTTTTAAATGTAATTTTTAGAATTTAACATAAACAAATAATTTATTATATTAATAACTAGATCAAAGAGATAATTTTTTCAAAACTTAAAAAATTACGACAAAATAATTTTTTTAATTAATGTTAAATTTAGAAAATAGAAAAAATAATGCTCAACTCTCTTTCGTTTAAAAAAATTCTTAAAAATAAGTTTATTTAAGAATTAAAATTTTAAAATTATATATAGAGATAGATTACTATTAACTGTTTTTTGTACATCACAACTATTTTATTAAATTTAATTCAATTTTGAAATTTTTTTATGTTAAAGACATAATATTTTAATTATTATATTAAATAAAATTAAATTAAAAACACTTATCATAAGTAAATTATAACTAATATTTGATATAAATCATAGATTTTATTAGTGTTTTAACGGTAAAAACTGTATTCTGCGCCATTCTTATACGTGAAAGCATCACAGATTCTTTAACAGCACACCATAAAATTTCGGCGTCTTCATTGCCGTTCACATTCCTTAATCCTTGGAACTATTAAAAAAACCAATAATGATAATATTAAAAAAAAAATCATTACTAATGACCTAACTGACTGCATTAATTTTTTTTTCTTCATGATAAAAATATATTTAAATTCTTTTTTTTTCATATTCAATTTTGTCACTATTTTTATTTAAAATTATTATCTATTTGAGTCAGTATTTCTTTTAACAGTTTTATTGATATTAATTTTTAAAATTAATTTCAAGTATGTAATTTATTATTCTAAATATTTATAATATTCCAAATATAAAAATATGATAAATTTTTTTTATATAATTTTTTTAAAAATAATTGAAATTAGCCTTAACAATTGATGTGGATATGTTATTTGTTTATAAATTTTAAATTGAATAAAAATTAAATTCTTTATTACTTAAAGTAATTACTTTGTCTGTTTCATTATTTTGCAAACAAAATATAAGTTACACAATGAAGTTAATAACTTAAATTAGACGCGATATGAAATATGAAATAAGTTGCATAATAGCAAAATTTTTCTAAGTTAGCCAAAAAAAAAAAAAAAGAATACAAATAATTTAAACCTTAGTGTGTCTTTAATTATAAACAAGTATAAATTTTAAGACGTGTAACCAAAATTTGTTGTCTTCATAAATTGAAGAGATGGATAATGCAAATTCAAACCATTGCTTTGAATTAATTTAATAATTTTTTCAAAGATAAAATGAGTCAATGAAACCCTATTTTAAAAAATTTATTTATTTATTTAAATTAATTTATTATTTAATTTCCTAGTTATAGTAAAACCTTGATAAATTTCCTTGCACATATTCCTTCTTTTGTTTTTTTAGCAAAGAGAGTGAACCTTTGATGTAAAAAAAATGCAAATTGAATATATTATTTTAAAATAATTTTAAATTTTTTAAAAAAATTAACTAATAAATTGTATGCTTTATAAAATTTATTTATTTGGTCATATGCATAAACAATTCATAAAAAAAATTTACTTTTATTCAAAATTAACGAATTTTCATGCAAATTTTTTGTTCATTTGTTTTGGTAAAAAGAAATACCAGTTAAAGAATTACAAAATTTAAACCGCTACTCTGTGTTAGTTCTATATTTATTAAAAATTCAATGAACAGAACCCACTTTTTAAAATAAATTATTTATTTGAAAAAACCAATAAATTTTCATACATCTCTTTTTTTTATTTGTTTCAGAGGATTTGAGAGAACGAAACTTTTAATGTTTGTAAATGCAAATTCAAACCGTTACTTTGAATTAATTTTATAAGACTTTGAAAATTAAAATTAATAAGTGAAACCTTATTTTTTTTATAACTTTTATATTTTTTATATATAACAAATTAATTAATTAATTAATTCCATTGTTTTCTTTGTAAAAAAATTATAAATTTTCCTTCACATCTCCTTTTATTATTTTGTTTTGGACTGACCCGTTCCTTGTGCCATACACACACAAGCTTCTGCTGCTTTCTTTTATTTTCTCTCTGCCAATTCAAATTGCTTGTTTCTCGGCAAAAATTTTCACGCCGTGTTTTCCCGGAATTAATTGTTCTGCGTTCCCGTAATTGTTTCAGAGATCGAAAACAACGTTTAATCTCCGTGCAATTCTTTTGTCTTTTTGTTTTCCGTGAGTTCTCAAAAGGGAAAATAAAATAACCACTCAAACTTTTCGTTTTCTCATTCACTGGTGGCTTCATTGTTCGATTCAGGGTTTTGGGATCGTAGTTTTGCGGCTCTCGTGGTTCGCAGAGTGGTGCTATTCAAAACTTGTGGTGATAACTGAACATATCGCCCAAGCCACGAGGTTTGGGTTCCGAATTGTGCGAATATTGGCTTCGATTCGTAATTTGATGTGAAATTAGGGTTTTTCGGTGAGCATAAACGTCGTTGTGGATGGTTACAACATGATAATTAAGCGAACGATGAAAATTGAAATGCCGAACCTTAAACGGTGTAACATGGAGGAGCCTGATTCCGAGGATGGGTGTTCGGCGATTCAGAAGAAGCGTAGGGTGAATGGGTTTTACTCTCTGGGCATGCCAGGTGATGCTGAAGATTTCAGCAGCGGTTCTGGTTCTTGGAGCAGTGAAGGATCGTATTGGGGTGGTGGCGAGGTTCAGTCCAATTCAAATTCTGTTCTGTTTAACCGGAAAACAGCGAAATACAGGGGCTCTGAAGCTTCTCGGCCTCCTCTGTTGCGGTCTTCGCGTGGCCGGGTTCAGACACTTCCCTCAAGGTTCAATGACTCGGTTCTTGATACGTGGAAGAATCGAGGAACCAAAGAAGAGGATGGAGACTCCAGCTTTGAAGATGATAAGAGTTTTTTGGAAGATGAAAGGGGTGGCATTGGTGCAAAGGGGATTGTGAAACTGGAGAAGAGTGATAGTGTGTGTTATCCGTATTCTGAAGTGAAGGTGGTAGCGGATTTGGGGGCGTTAGGTTTCAACGGTTTTGATAAAAGGGAGCATGCTGATTCGTGTAGTGTTGGAAGAAGGAATGTTAAGGCTGAGAGTAATACGTCTGGTCTTAGTTTTGAGGGTGTGGATCAAAAGCCTAATGGGAATGCTGAGAAGAGGAAGGAGGTTTACAAGCCGGAGGATTTTGCTTTGGGTGATCTAGTATGGGCTAAATGTGGGAAGAGGTATCCTGCATGGCCGGCTGTGGTGATTGATCCTATCTTGGAGGCTCCTAAATCTGTCCTCAGCTGCTGTGTCCCTGGTGCGCTTTGCGTGATGTTTTTCGGTTATTCGAAAAATGGAACACAGAGGGTAAATTTCTCGTCGGGTCTTGTTTATGCCCTAAATTTGAGTTTTTGGTTTTTGGTTTTTGGTGTTGAGAGCTTAGAGAATGGTGATGCGCAGGATTATGCGTGGGTGAAGCAGGGAATGCTATACCCCTTCTTGGAATTCATGGACAGGTGTGTGGTTAAATGATATTGGCTGCAATTGTTTCTGTAAGGATATTGGATGTTTAACAAATAAAATTTCATCTTCATTCAGATTCAAGGGGCAGACCCGGTTGTACAAGAGCAAACCAAGTGACTTTCACATGGCACTGGAGGAGGCAATGTTGGCAGAAGATGGTATCATGGAATCACAGTTGAGAGGAGAGGAAGTAACAAATGTGAAAGATGATCCTGATGAACTTATAGAGGCCACCTGTTCATATATTGATGAGGAATATTACTGCCAGGATCAGGTGAGGTTGATTTTTTCATTTTATGATTTATGACTAGATGAGAGCTTTTACAAAATTTGCATGAGTTGTGATTGACAGACACTGCAGTAGTCAATATTTATTTGTGGGGGAATGACTGAGGAGTGCCTATGATATATAGGATTGGAGCTAGATAAAAAGGAAAAGCGTAGGATGGTCAACAAAGAAAAACCAAGATTGAGGCCTTGAGGGTGGCCAAGCTTAGAAAATTAATTATTTTTTTCAGAATTATATTAGACATCTACTTCTGAGAAGAACTGAGCAGAGACAAAGCCCCTCTCAACTCAACCACAAGGAGGCATTGCCTTTTATCATTACTGTGTACTTGTATCTGAAGCAGGAGGTCATGTTTGAACATGGCACATGGAGTGATATGCAAAAGAAAAGTGTATAACCTATTAGTCTGTTAACAATTAAACTAATCATCATAGGTTTTAAAATGGAAATAATTATCTTCCACATGTGGAAGTATGGGTTTTAACTTTTCATGGTCAAAATGCTAGCTTGAAGGGACTAGTAACTATGGATCAACAGCTAGTATCTGTTACTCCCAAGTTAAAAATAAAAAGTATTCATCCAAACCAAAGAAAGAACACCAATCTTGTAGTGTAATTTAAATATTTTCAATCACTAGAGAAGCCCTGTTTCTTAAGTCCAGCATCATAAATTATTTAAATATTTGTTCAAATTCTCATGCATACTGCACAGATGTCATTGATGTAGTGATGTATGCATTGCACACTGACATGCCACAGTGCTATTTGTCTGAGCAAGAATTATGCATATTCAGGACTCATCCTAGTAATATTAGGAGATGGATTTAATGAAAAGAATGAGTTGAAATAGGTGTACGAAATTTCTACTGTTCCAATGCATTACAAACTTGTAGATTTTCATCATCAATTGTATGCTGTACAGATTAACTTGGTTAACATGCTTCAAAATTATTTTTTCTTTCAAATTCTTCCCAAGATTATTATTTTAATGACCCCCTAAATTTGAAAATTGAGCATCTATTTATAGTGTTTTGGAAGAGCATACTCTTCTAATCTAGATGACAATTTAACAACATTATATAACTGCAAGCCTTTACAACTTGAGGGTTTCCTCATTGTTCTGAGCTCTGTATTTCTTCTTTTTCCCTTTGTTGACCTTGTTATTATCAAATCTTCTGTTTTTGTATTAGCCTATCAAATCCAAAGCTATATATGTGTGTTTGTGTGTGTCTATATATATGTATTTGTGTATAGCTAGACAATTCATTTTATGATCTCATAGATGATGTAAAATGTACATGGTTCAACATACATAATTACTGCAATAACATAGTAATTTGTGTATCATTACTTTTATCTATAGGATTAGTTTGTTTTCTCACGTGTTTACAATTGTTGTAGAATAAATATTTTACAATTCTTTCTGGGAATGCCTCTCTATGCACCTGTATGAGAGATGGAAATAATCTGTAGTGAATTGCTGATTATGAACCTTATGTTGCGTCTTGTTGGTTGTTATGTTGTGTTGCTGTTTTGTCCTGTGCTGATAGATAATCTGAAAGGAAGGTCTGCGTAAAAGTTAATTGTATAAAAGGGTTTCTTATAGATAATGTTATTTGTATACTTTTATCCATTGGATATATTGTGCAGGATGCAAGATATTGTGCTGGCTGTGGTCTGATGTTGCCATGCAAAACCATGAAGAAGATTAAGGATTCAAATTGTGCACCTCAATTTTATTGCAAACATTGTGCTAAGGTTATGCAGAATGGTTCATTTATAATACTTTCAAAAACTTCAGTAGATAATTTTATAGCAGATATTTGATTTTCTTTTTTTTGTTCTTACAGTTGCGAAAATCAAAACAATATTGTGGCATTTGCAAAAAGATTTGGCACCATTCAGACGGTGGGAATTGGGTAAGATTGTCTGTTTTGTCACTGTAGTTTTTTTTAAAAAAATAATTAATAATTTAGGTTGTTTGAATAACTCAAAATTTTGACATCATTTGGGTCTGAACTCTTTGCATCAGGTATGTTGTGATGGTTGTAATGTTTGGGTGCATGCCGAGTGTGATAAAATTTCCAGCGAGCTTTTCAAGGTCTGTGTTGGTCAATGTTGAGTGTGACACCATTAATTTCTCTGTTTTTTTTAATTATTTAATTTCCCTCTTTCAAGAAGTGGCTGAAGATAAATGACTGATGTTTAATTGCAGGATTTGGAAAATACAGATTATTACTGTCCAGATTGCAAGGGAAAAATCAATTGTAAATTACCAGCATCACAAACGTACAAGACAAAAATCAAGTATGTAGTAATTGTCTGCCACTTCCCTTTTCTTCTATTTACAGCATTTTATTTTATTCTAAGTTTTATGATGCAATATCTTTTTGATACAGATCAATAGAGAATAGCCAGAAATCTCTGATACCTGAGAAAGTAATGGTGGTGTGCAATGGGATGGAGGGAATTTACATCCCAAAGCTTCACCTGTAAGCCTCCAACACTTTTTGAATATTATGGGATTGATAACAATTTAAATATTTTGACTTCCTACATATGATGGAAAGGAATTTTTTTATACTTGCCCCTGCAGTCTTTAATTCATGTTTCTGGGGATGATCCCTCTCCATTTCTCCATTTTTTATTTTCCTTTTGTCCCCAAAAATTTTTGGAGAAAATCTGTGTGTGTGTGTATATATATATATATATATATATTATTTCCCTCTAGCTATTTCATAACCATTTCTTTATTTATGGTTTTGTTGTTGACTATTATGTTTATCAATGGTATCGTGTGATCTATGTAGCTTACCTCACCCAGTAGCATAAGGTTAGGTTGTTGTATCTTTAAGAAAGATACCACCATCAATATAGTTTTGTTTATCAATCTGAATAGGTTCTATACCAACAAAACGGTGAGAGAAAAATAAAAGAACCTTAGGTGAATGCACATTATTTCTTCCTAGAAGAATTCTATTGAGCTGCTTGTGACAGATTGTCTTTCCTTGCAGGGTCATGTGCAAGTGTCTCACTTGTGGTTCAAGGAAGCAGACACTGAGTGAATGGGAAAGACATACAGGTTGCAGAGCCAAAAAATGGAAACATAGTGTGAAAGTAAAAGGCACAATGCTACCGCTAGAAAAATGGGTCTGTATTATTTCTTGCCATATCAGACGGATGCCAAATATTATGTTTTGCTTCTTTCTCATTTCTTTTCTTAACGTAAATTACTTCAGATGACAGATCACATTCCTCAAGAAGGAATACCCCAGCAGTTAGATCAGCAGCAGGTGCTTGCCTTTTTGCAAGGTAAATGTGCATTCCCCTTAAATTTTATACTAAAGCCTTCATTTTTAAAAGTTAACCAAGTTTTATTCCACAACACAGGATCATGCTTTCTTTTGAATTTGAATACATCTTTAAAGACATTTTTTTTTTAACTTTTATCTCACTGTCACAGAGAAATATGAGCCAGTTTATGCAAAATGGACCACAGAAAGATGTGCCGTTTGCAGATGGGTTGAAGATTGGGAAGATAACAAAATTATTATCTGTAACAGGTATTTCATTATTATTCATGATATTTCCCCTAAGTTGTAGAGTTTTGGAGTTGTTTAGTATTTGATTTCAAATTTACAATGCTTTAAAGGTACCACTGTTGATTAATATATGTTCACTTGTTCATTGTGCAGATGCCAAATAGCAGTCCACCAAGAATGCTATGGGGCAAAGCATGTTCAGGATTTTACTTCTTGGGTTTGTAGAGTATGTGAAACTCCTGATGTGGAGAGAGAGTGTTGCCTCTGTCCAGTAAAAGGCATGCTATATTTGTATTTTGCAATCTGAATTCTCCTTTTTTCTTATGTCTATATTCTATGACGTTAAATTCTTTATGAAAGTGATAAATGACAAAATGGCTGATTAGGCACTCTTATAGGAGGCCTTTTTCACTCTTATATTGTATTGAAATTCTTTCTAATATTCAAAAATTCTTTCCTTTAGTGGACCTTCAATCTCTAATGTTATCATTTTTTGTCCATTCTCTCATTGCTAAGAAATCCTCTTATGAGCCTGATGGTCAGTTGTGTGATCAACTGCTAATATGGGAAAACATGTTTTTCAGGCGGTGCTCTAAAGCCAACTGATGTTGAGATGTTGTGGGTTCATGTAACTTGTGCTTGGTTTCGACCTCAAGTTGCTTTCCAAAACCATGAGGCCATGGAACCTGCCATGGGAATCCTTAAAATTCCTCCTAATTCCTTTGTTAAGGTAAAGTGCTGGGCTAAAAGGTGATCTTGGCATTTATTGAGCAGATGGTTTCAGCTTAAATATTGCCTGGAGCCAATCCTGGTTGATTATGAATTTTATTTGGCTGACAAGCTAAAATGCAATGATTATTTTATTTAAGTCTATATACTTATGCTCAAAGTACATGTGGACAACTATTCCTATCCCAAAAGAGAAATTTCATTCTTCCAAAGTACTTTTTGCTAAAACGAATTTCCACACTAATTATCCAAACATTCACTATATAATCTTTTACCTTTGTGTGCGTGTGTGTTGTTCACAAAGATAGTGGTGAGGTCATTATATAATCACTTTACTCTTGCCTTTTTTTTTTCCACCTTTTTTGTTATATTAGGTTGGGATGTACTCGTTAACTCGTGTATGTTTCTTGTCCACTATGACTGCAGACTTGTGTGATCTGTAAACAGAGCCATGGTTCCTGTACAAGTTGTTGCAAGTGTGCTACTTATTTTCATGTGATGTGTGCATCAAGGGCAGGATATACAATGGAAGTAAGTTTCATGCTTCTTTCAAGTGTAAATACTAAATATGTTGATCTGAAATTGTTAATTTTTTCTTGATTTGTTTTATCACTCCCCTACTTTTCTCTATTGGAGGGCATAGGCGACCATTTTATATTTTCATCCTAAATAAATAATTCCTATGATTATTTGAATTTAATATGTGGATTGCTTGGGAAAATATGTTGATATTGTTTAAACTTACAGTTGCATTCCATGGAGAAGAATGGGACTCAAATAACAAAGAAGCTAATATACTGTGCAGTTCACAGGTTTGAGTTCTAAGCGATGTAATTGCATATCTAAGGTTATTTTCCATGTCCTTTTTAATAACATGGTTTATATGTTAATTCCATCTCAGAGTCCCAAGTCCAGATTCAGTACTGGTCATACACACACCCATGGGGGTTTTCTCTCCCCGAACTTCTCTTCAAAGTCACAAGGGATGCTTCAGGGGATCAAGGCTAGTTTCATCAAAAAATGTAGAGCTTAACGAATCTTCAACCACTGAAAATGACAAAGTTGAGCCGCTGTCTGCTGCCAGATGTCGTGTGTACCGAAGGTCTCCTAGTAAGGTGATGATTCTAAACATGCTTACAAGAACATAATAATATATTAACTCCATTCTGTTGCTCTTATAGTGTTTTATTTTATTTATAGTCAATCACTTCTGGTATTTTTATTACATCCAATGCTCTTCATATAATGCTTACTGTTAATACAAATACGCTAATTACTTACATTATCTATTATTTTCAATTTGGTCTCTTACAATATATTTTCTCCTGTATTGCCAGAGGGCTGATCTGCCTGTAATTCACTTGCTGAGGGGACCTAGCATTCATTCTTTAGGTGCAATAACTCAGCTGAACCACTACAAGGTAATCTTCATGGCTAACTTGATACAAATTAGGCTTTTTGCTGTTTAAATAAATAACCTATTCTTAGAGTTGTGACGGTAATATGCTGGGAAAAAAAGGGCCAATTTGTTGTCTAATAATAATTCTTTGCGATAGGATGCTGAAGAATCTAAAGTATTCACTTCTTTCAAGGAACGTCTTCACCATTTACAGGTAAATCTTATCTTTCCATTTGCTGATCTTATTTTTTTAATTTTAAATAATATATATATATATATATATATATTAATTAATTAAAATTCAATTATAATATTTCCGTTTTACAGAAAATGGAAAAACTTAGAGTTTGCTTTGGAAAATCGGGTATTCATGGATGGGGTCTCTTTGCTCGTAGAGATATACATGAAGGAGAGATGGTAATTGCTATATTCATTTAATATGGTTACTGAAATGTAATATGTTTACAGTACCACAAATTTTTCTGAAGACAATTAAGTTCATGCTTGTTATGTTTGTTTGCAGGTTGTTGAATATCGTGGTGTGCAGGTAAGGCGCAGTGTTGCTGATCTGAGGGAAGCCAAGTACCGATCAGAAGGCAAAGATTGCTACGTGAGTCTCTTGTTTAAGATAGTCATAAATATCTGTATATACTTGCAAGTTCCAATCTCTTTGTCTTGATTAACATAGCAAGGCATTTGATAGGCATTAAAAATAGTATCACGTTTCATTCATGGTCTTTTAATCCTATATTTGGTTCAAATGCCTGTTTTAGACAGGTTTGTGTTTGCTGTTAACTTTGAATTCATTTACTGCTAATCTTTAACACTGAATAAAATAAATCATGCAGCTGTTCAAGATAAGTGAAGAAGTGGTAATTGATGCAACGCACAAGGGCAATATAGCACGTTTAATAAACCATTCTGTAAGTTACTATTGTGCTTTGCTGTAACTATGAATCTTGTCTGCTTTTCTTTATATTTTATGGCATGCCCTATGAAGCTCCGAATAATTTTTTAGGCATATTGCAGTGGGGTTGGCTGGATGGTTATTGTTCTCAGCAACATAGGATTTTCTAAATTCAAACTACATTAGTTATATGATAATATAGTTTTATACAGAAACTAGTTCATTTTCTTGTCCTTTAATTCCTGTGTGTTGCCAAAAGAAAGAGGAACAATGTGGAAGATGTTGTGGTTAGATTATGAATATTGTTTGAACATTGTATAATTCAAACAGAACCATGCACTGTGGTTCTGAATAAAGATAATATTGCTATGGTCAAATGACCAAAAAAAGAAAACGAAGAAAATACTGATTTCAACTTGTCTTGCTTCAGTGCATGCCAAACTGCTATGCAAGGATTATGAGTTTGGGTGATCAGGAGAGCCGGATTGTTCTTATTGCCAAGACCAATGTTTCTGCTGGTGAAGAACTAACGTACGGTTTGTGGTGTTTGCATGTCTTTTAATGTGTTCTAATATATGTAAGCATGCATTATTGGGTACGTGTCATATATCTTGCTTAGGCATGAAAAATTTGATTTGTCTGACATGAATTACTTTCATTTTTCTCATGTTGCAACAGGTATGATTACTTGTTCGATCCAGATGAGCGGGATGAACTGAAAGTTCCCTGCCTATGCAAAGCCCCCAATTGTAGGAAATTTATGAACTAGGTTTAACATTCATTGGTTCTTTGAGCAATTGCAGTTACCAAACCACAGCAATATTAGTCCGTTGATTTTTATTTTTTTTACTAGTATAATTTGTATATCATTTATATAATAAAATATAAAATTTCCGAGCAGATGAGCTTGGAGGCATTTTGTAACTTGCCAGTATATTCAAATTATATTGACATTTGGAAGCAATTTACTTAAAGACAAAAGGTGTATAGAGCACATATATCATATATGTTTATACGCTTCATAGGCATATCATGGAAACTCTTACCTATATTTACTGATTGAAGTAATAATTTTATTACTTTACGTTAAAGTGTTCATAAATTGTGAAATAATCTATCTCAATTAAACATGCCATAAATTGGTCCTTACAATTAGTTGTTCACACTCGTTAGACTTGAGTTCCGATTGTTAAATATTTTTATTTCTTTTTATTTATATGTTTAAGAGAATACAAATTCAGAAGTATAATTAATAATGTCGTTTATGTTTAAATTACCTTTAACTTTGTAATATAATTAATATTATTTCTCGTTTATAATAATTAGTGTGTTATTTAAGAATTTGGTAGAAATGACATAATTAAAAATTAGTTAATAATGGATAGATGAATAGAAAAAAAAATATATATATATATATTGCTGAATGTTGTGCTTCTTAATGGGATCAATGAAGCAAGTATTTAATACTAACAAAAAAATTTTGTTAGAGCATTTATATTGTCGGATCACATTTTTTCTTATTACTAAAATTTATATATATTACTAAATTTTTTTCTACTAAAAATTCATAAAACTATTTCTATTTTAAAATTCTTTCATTAAAAAAAGCCATCCATCATTTTTTATTTTAAAAAATTTAATTAATTAATTATTGTTTTATTAACCTTTAATTGATTTGATCTTTATGTTTTTTTATCCTTTCGTACTTAACTTTTTATAACATACAAGTTACATTTTACTTATTTTAATTCGAGAGCTTTATGTTATACTTTAGAATTTAAACTGTAATATCTTCAACAATTGAACTGAACAGAATTTAAAGCTATATTATCAAAAGAAAATACAGTTAATTATTTTAAAAAAATTGATTAAAACTTAAATCTAACGTAAATTGATTTCTCCTAAAACAAAAAGCTAACATGCATTTTGGTAAATTAGTTCAGCGACTATGCTAATCAGATGGAAACGAGACTCCTTTAAAATGTATTTATCACAATAAATATTTAATTGCGCTTTCCTTGTTATTTTTATTTTTATTACAGTTTTGTTTGAATTTGGAGACTTTGGCGCGCCTATATAAGGAGGGAAATTCACGAGAACCGTTGTGTTCAGCTTTAGAGTTGAGAGTGGGTAGTGGATTCAGTGCTTTAGCTTCAGAATTTCAGATAGAAAACTAATCTCAGATTTCTGAGGCAGTATGGGAAAGCGCCTCCAAAGTGCTACTTCTACCGGCGGAGAAATGCCACCGGAGAAGCGGATTCGGAGGAGCAAAACCATCTGCTCTTGCAACTCTCCTCGTCCTCCCTTTCTCTCCGCTCATTCCACTTTCTCCTGGTTCTCACACACTCTCTCAAATGTTACTGCATAAGCGGATTGCACTTTGCTCGTATATATCAATGCTGCTTTTAAATGTGATCTTATGCATTTCTGTGTCACTGATCAGAATTCAGTTCGGATTTTCAATAGGATCTGGTTTTAGAATTGTGCACCGTGCGATTCAGTTAATTTATCTATTTATATTTGGTTTGTGTGTTCACTCTTGAACGATTTAGTGAAATCCGTTCTTTCTTGGTCGGAGACTCGTACAGAAACTGGAGTGTGATCTATTTATACATTTTGTTTGAGATCTTTGTGTTTGTTTATTATTTATATTTTTCAAGATGCTTTTGAATGCGATATTTTCTTCTTGTGATGAACTTCGAATGTGATTCTCGATAGCGAGTTCAATTTTAAATTGCATGCTGAATCGTGTTTTATGACAATTTTGACGTAAGAGGAAACGAGAATGCTTCATCAACTGGTAATTTGCGACTTCAAACATTTGCTTCATTCCGAGAGTTAGATTAGATCGTTTCAAGTTCCATGAGTTCTGGAAGTATCTGCTCGATATTAAGAAACGCATTTTCTGTTGATCACTCTGCAAACTCTGTTTCGTTATAGTCAACTATTTCGATTTTTAACTGCACAGCAGCTTAATCACTCTTTAATTGGTTTCTCAGTAATTTCAGATCGTCGTTTTTCCATAGCTTTAATATGTGGAAAAGATCAATGGATGCATCTTTGTTGTTGTTTCTTTTCATTTTGATTTTTCCTTTTTTCATTTCTAGATACAAAATGTTGTAATGGTTCAAATTGTCGTTTTCGGTAGCTTCTTTCTATACGAGAATATAATTGCTGGAATAATTTTTTTTTCTATTTTTATAGTACTATGGTTAATTATTATTCCTATTTTTGTCTGAACAACGTGTAATGTTAATATTCAACGAGAAGGTTCGAAGAGGACATTTGGACAGAGATTGCTAAGTTTCTGGACGGAAAATCTCTGGTGATGCTGGCAGCCACAAGCCGATGGTTCCGCCGTGCTATCATGGATGACGGTATATGGAAGTTCGTGAGCCTGCGTGATCTTCAGGTCCCACCGCCGCAACGCGTGGCATTCAGGTGGTGTAAGCTGTACACGTCAGCCTTTGGTAAGCCTGACCCTTCTTCAACGTCCAAATCAATTACTTTCTTTTACGTGTATGCAACATATAAGAAATTAAGATCGGCAAAACATAATTAAGATACGACGAACTGCCATATATCCTCCGATTAACTTCGATTTTGCATCGAAATTTCAGATGGAAGCCACTCCTACTTGTTCCGTCAAAAAGAGAAACATATTGGTGAGTGGGTTCTTTGGTTAGCTACCCATCGTTCCTCGTCAGCTGTAATTTTGTTTTTTACGTTTTTTTTAACAATGAAATTAGCGGTTGAATTTTCTTAACTGGATGGATGGCAAACCCTATCATATTTTAACTAAATAGAGGACATATTGTTATGGAAGTGGAGGGTATAGTCCTTTTTTTTTTTTTCACGTCAAAAAGCTATTATTTGATTTAGAAAGCAACACAGCTAGGTACTTCTATATATATCTAGTAATCATGTGAAATTCATACTAGATTTTACCACTGTATGCGTACGGAATTTTAACAGATCCACGCATAATACCTTATCCACATTTTAATATATGTGAAATTCACAATTAATTTTAATAGATCCAACACAATACTACTCCCACAGTATCACTGAACAATGTGCTCAAGCAGATAATTTCCTTGTGAATGGAATTTCGTTGATATAACCACTAATCAGTTTTAGCACCAAATCTTCCTCCCTCTTTCTGATTGTTTAGCTATGATGCACATTCGCGGTGTAGGTCTTTTAGAATTTATACAACCACTGCTGATTCATTCTTGTAGTACATATATTGTTGAACAAACAAGGCCCACATAAACTGAAAATATGTTACGGGCAGTATGTGCAACTTCAACATTGACTTGGAAAATTATTGATGTTGTAACTGTTTATTATGTACCACCAGATTGGATGCGTATTGGCGCTTTTTCTTTTGATTCTTCTGTAGCCGTCCTGACAGAGAGACTGACTTTTCCGGGGAAGATACGGAAAGAAGAAAGCTTGGAAAAGATGTTGCGGTCTCAGGGTTGTTGCGTGCTAGACAATGTTAAATCTGGAATCTGGATAGCTGGTAACTCCCAAGTTGACTTTTACCCTAGGACTATCCTTGAAATGAATGATGTCAGATTATGATCTTAGTTGAATTTAATTAATGTTTGATATCGTTAAATTTTCAGACCTGCAGCTTGTTCGATGCCCTGTTTGTGATCTCAATACGTGCGATGGTAATTTGAATACGATCCGAAGAGTCCTGCATATCCCTAATCCATTTGTACTGTCTGCGATTGCCTTCTAATTTGGACAAGAGTCACAAGACAAATAAAACTGCCATGAATAATACATCACTGACCACTGTGTTGTACAGCAAGGATTTGCCATTAGAGTAAGGCTAGATTAAAGTTAGTTAATTTGACAGGTTTCTCCTACTTATATAGGAACAATGCAGACATTAGATGCAAGGCATATAGAACTGTTCCTCTCTGAAGGATACCAAACTGGGAGCTGGGAATACCAGCTTGTAGGATCTCATGATATTAAAAAACGAGCAGATGGGGCTGCTGGAGCCATTTTTGACATTAAACACCTGGAGGATTCTTCCACGTCTGGTAAATCTTAATACTTCCGAGTCTACTCGATAACCCCGTAAAAATTTTTCCCGAGAATAAACCGCCGACCTAATGTCAACGCATAAAGAGATTACCTTCTGTTTAGCACAATAGAGCTAAAAATATTTGAAAATTATATTTTGCGATTAGTTTCAATTACAGATAGGCTATTTAATTCCAGCGAAGAGTGAATTCATAGATATTCCACAAACGAATTTAAATAAGAATATTATGCCTCATAATATTTCAGTAACTTCATGTTCTAATCCATTTTATTGCCTACCATTTTATAGAAGACAGTTTAGTCATGAGATTAACACATACAACAATCTGCTTTGATTTCCAAATTAAATGGCAGCGGTATTTGATTACAAGTCATGGATTGGGAGACCAAATGACTGGCAACCCAAGGCCATGATTGCTTTCCATGCAGTAGCTGTGAACACTAATTTACAAGAAAATGAAGGTCAGGAGCTTTCCATGCAGTAGTTGAATTTAATTACTGGAATGAATCTCAGCAAAATTGAGTCCCGTGATTTCTTATTTAGACTGTCCTTTGCAATTTCACTGGCCCTTGTGTTGACTCACTTCTACTTCTTTTCTTTCTTTATGCTTGAATATTAAAGTTTCATGATTTTCCATTTTGTTTTCAATACAAGCAGGTCTTCACGTGAAATACCACGCTATGAGGGCAGGAACTGATGGAGAAGTTGTTTCCATTAGAATCTCTCAGCAGCTCCTGTGATTCATCCCTAACCCGTCTTTGAGAGGGGCTGGGCAGTTCTTTCCTAGCTTTTAAAATGCCTTTCTGGCAGTATTATACAAGACTAACTCTTAGACCCGAAAACAATTATTGTATAATTCATTCATTAATTTCCCACATGTAGCTTTGGTTTAAACATTGAAAGATGATAATAGATAATGTTTCCAAATGAAATGTTGCAAATGGTGATGACCAAGCATTATTTTGTTTGAAAGTATAAAAAGTACCCTGTAGATCTTGAAGCATTTGCTTTCCCTAAAATTGAATGATTTGTGTAACATTCTGGAAATATACAAATGAAAATCAAATAGTACTTAATGATCGTTGGTGACGATTCTGAATATTTTCCTCCCAATAAACTGACTTGACAAAAATAGGAATTATAAGTTCATGCCCTCTTGCTGAAAGATCTAGTAGTTAATGTAACTACCCTGTCGAGGCAGATAAGTAATAATTCTGCAGATAGCAATCTTACGTCATATCTTCTATATATCTATTTATTTATTACATTATACTGACATGTAATAGGAAAATGTTAAATTCAGACTAAATTTAAGTAATTAATAATAATAAAATTTGATTAGAAAAGAAAGCTTACATTTTTATATTTCTAATATAATAAATATTTCCTTTTTATAACAACTTTCACTCATAGATATTTTGAAATCAGACCTTTTAACGGGCTGATTAATAAAACCTTACATAATAAAATTTGACTTTCAGCATTGCTATGAAATGCAAGGAGTTAAGATTAAAATACGGTTTTCTCCTTCTTATAAACTGGGACCTCAGTTCAACCGATTTGTACACCTGAAGAGTAATGGTTATCTTGAAGATCCTTTTTTCCTTCTTCATCTTTCCTGTCATATATGCCTCAAATGATTGCCAATTTTCTGTATGTGGTAACGATAATATCCTTATTCGTTTCCCCTTTCAAATCGAAGGTGAGCAACATCCTTATTGTGGCTATCCTGGTTTCAACTTAATTTGTACGAATGACAGCAAAACAGTTCTAAAACTTCCTTACTCTGGAGAATTCTATGTACGCAACATAACCTATCTCACACAACAGATACAAGTTTACGACCCTGATGATTGCCTTCCCAAACGTCTTCTGAGCCTCAAATTTTCAGGTTCACCCTTCACTGCCACTTTCAGTCGTAACTACACCTTCTTAAGCTGCCCATCTCGGAACGCAAGATCACAATTCATTCCCATTGAATGCCTTAGTAATTCCACAAATTTTGTGTCAGCTATTCCTACTGTGAACTTGGGCACTTCATTGCCTGAGTCTTGCCATGTTATTACAACGCTTTCAGTTCCAGTTGCAAGGCCAGCGCAGTATGAGGGAAATCTCGTAGATGACCTTAGTGAAGATCTTCAATTGACATGGGATAAACCCGACTGCCAATATTGCGAATCACAGGAGCTAATGTGTGAATTTGCGAGCAGTAACAGTAATCAAGTTCTCTGTTTCTCTCATTATCAAACAGGTAAAGATGTTATATGATTTTCAATCTGCATTTCATAAGTCTGTTTTCAGAAACTAGATTACCCAAAAATAACATGTTTGAACGGTTAAAAGAAAAGACCTGCTAACATATTGTAGAAGTCTATATTAGGTGCCGACATGCTGAAGTTACAAGGAATCGCTAATCAAATGTTGGTCAATGGTTTACTTCAGTAGCCAGGATAACTATGGGATTTTTTTTGTTTTGTATATACCTTATACCTATTGACTTCAGATTTAATTTGCACGTTGGCATTAAATTAATCCAAAACAATGCTGAGCAAGGTAAGTGTTATTCGGGCATATGCAAAAGTCAAATTAACCCCACTTGTATTATTATAATTAAGGCAGATGTATGAGTGGTTTTTCCAATCCTTTATATTCAATCACTCGGTACTCTCTGATTTTTGGAGTAAAACAACTATTTTAAAGGGAGTGTATGTTGCTGACGTGATCAGCAGGAGACTGAAAAGCCTTTTCTATCCTAGTTCGAACACTATATTTTCACGCACTTGAAATATTACCAAACTGGCTCACGTTTGTCATACGCTAGCTTGATGGATGTGAACGCTTAAGTATGTTCATCCATCATTCTTCATTATTTCAACATACATACAACGTAGCACTGACCCTTCTTCATTTTTCTAATTATTATTTAAAAAAAAAACTTGGCTGCAATATTTCTCAACCATATTGATTTGCTCCTATTGGTAACATTTCCTCTTGTAGGTAGTCCCATTTTATCCCATTTTCGGATACCAAAGAACAATCTTACATAATGGAGTTTACTGGCTTATTTTAAATTTCAGGTAATTCACAGCATGGACTTGTAGTTTTTAGAATCATCGCATTATGCCTTGCTGGACCCGCTGCCGTCTTTGCTATAGTGATGGCAGGTTGCGTGTGCTACAAAGACAGAATAGGGAATATTCACAACAATGCTGCATCTGCACGAGGTGCAATATCACCTACACCACTACCAGACATTGTGAGTAGGGGTTTGGACGAGTGTACAATAGAGTCATATGAGAAGGTTATACTTGGAGAGAGTCGACGGTTGCCTGGACCCAACAATGAATGTTGTTGGATATGCTTGGCAGAATACAACACCAAAGACACAATAAGATGCATTCCTGAATGCAAACATTGCTTCCATTCTCGCTGCATTGATGAGTGGCTTCGCATCAACAACACATGCCCAGTTTGCCGTAACTCTCCTTCCCCTTCTCCCCTTCAAATTCCCGTTACGTCCACTTAGTAACCCTCATCTCATCAAACATTTCGAGCATCCCCCTCTTAATTGTAAGAATAATTATTGCCTGGCATTTATATTTTGAGTGTAGGGTGAGTGGACGAAAGAGAGAGATATAGAAAGAAAGAAAAAAAGAAAAATTATAATTGGTTATGTAATAGAAAGAGAGAGAGAGAAATAAATAAAAAAAAGTAAGAAAAAGTAAATATATAAATATATAAAAATGTCAATACTAGTCTTTAAGATTGAATCTGTTTTTTCCTCATGATTTTTATTTGTTTTTTAAACTTAAAGCCTAAAAATTAAGATTAACAAAACTCATGAATCAAATAGACATAATTAAAAAAAAGTTTGTTGAACACCTAAAAGGAGATACCTTTAGATATTCTTTTGTATTTTAAAGGTAATTTTAGAATGCTTGTATATATAAATTATTCAAATAATGGAACTAAACTATAAATCATGTTATTAAGTTAATAGATCCATGTGTATCAAGTATCCTACACCTTAGCGGAAAGTATCTACTAATTGGTTAAGGATTTATCTTTTCCATAGATATTGTGTTTCTTAATTCTTACTTTCTTACGAAGATTGTACTTTGGTAAAAGTAAAATTAGTAGAATTATTAATTCAGGTTACTAAATTGAGATTGAGTCAGTTCGAATCCAGTAGTGAGTTAAGGTAAGTTGGGTTAAAAAAAAAACTCAAAATAATTCAATTTTTAAAAATGATAGTCTAAATTCAACTTTTTACAAGTAACAAGCTTATGCATATATGTATATCATCTAATCATTTATAACTTTAAGATAAAAGACTTTCAATTAATGGTGATAAAGTGAAATATAGAACTCTAAAAAAAGGACAAAATTTAGATATTTTTAGTACCTTTTTAATTTAAAATCAAATTTCTATTTTAATAAAAAAAATAAATGTATAATGCTATATTGTAAATTATTAAAATAAAATTTCATTGAAAATATTTAAAAAATTGTACCCAAATTTTATCTGGTTGTGCCATGAGTTATATAACTGAGAAGGCGAGTCCAAATAAATTAAACGCAATGAAAAATTTTATTTTTGTCAGAAAGCAACGGATAGTTTTTGTTTTTGGTGTTGGGACTAGGAAACCTACGACGGGCCTTGGAAAGTCCAGTCCAGGCCCAACTCAGCATAGTACTCAAATAGACACAAAGGCACCCTAAACAGAGATTTAAGCAATGGATTGTTTGAAGTCCAACAAGAGAAATTGTTAGGAAATGGATTGGACCCCTCAGGTCAGGATAATGAATCAGGCCATGAGAGCCCCCCACCATCAACAACTTTTAAGGTTTCTTATTTTCTTACTCTCTTTTTTACAACTGTATGATTTAAAAAAGAAAATAAAATATTAGTCGTTTATAGAACACCATTAACATTGATGGAGCAATTGTAGTGGCAAAGAAATGATTTAATTTTCTAAATAAAATATTATTTTAGAAAATAAAATATCCTTAATATTTTTAAATAAAAATTAATAATTACAATGATTATTTTATTATACAGGTAATTTTATAAAAAATTTAACCATTATTTTTTAATTAATAATTATAAATATATTTTATTTTTTGAGAATTCAAATCCTTTACAAACATTTAAAGATGGAGTGCAGTACCCACGGGAGAATTTTGAGGTTGTCTGGTTTCTCGCGAGAATGAAAAGACAGGAACAGTGAAAAGAAGGAGCGAAGGCACATGTTGTGTGTCGTGGTCCAATGTCCATTTTCTCTCTAGAAAGAAGAGCGAGCTTTCCGTACTCCTTTTCATTATTATAATTTAGTGATACGATAGTCAACTTATACTTACAAAAGTAGTAGCACTTATATACGTAGAGGAAGTGTGCTTATAACGAACGTCATAATAATTTAAGCATAACTGTCAATTATTCAGGTGCCGTCCCGCGACTGATGGCTTTATTAAGATAAAGAGGGCCCACTTTTTTTTATTTGATTGTCAGACATTCTCAGCCTCTCTCACTCCACTCACACTCTCACTCACTTTTCTTTCTTTGTACTAGTTAATAAATAAGAAAGTGTAAAAAAAGTGAGATAGAAAATAAAATAAAATAAAAAATATTTATAAAAATATTAATAATCTAATAATAATAAAAGAAACATATATTGACATACAAGAGTATTAAATGGAGGGAGAACAAAATAAAATAAAATAAAAATATAAAGAATGATGTAATAAAAAAGCAAATAATATAAATATAAGTTATCATCATAATAATAATATAAAACTAGTAAGTGCGGCATCTAATCACGGTAATAATGTTAGATCTGTAGCATGGGTCGCATTTGTAAAAGATATTATTGATGTTTCAAAAATTCCCTTTAAATTTCTGAGTTTGTAATAATTCTCTTCAAAAGTGGGATCATGTTGATGTGGGTCACGATCGACGTCGGCAACTATAAAGTCTTGCTGGGATGGTTTCCATTTATTCCAACATATGGGTCATTAGCTTCGTAGGTGTTATTCCTTTCCTTTAAGTTCAATTCTATCCCAAGATTCTACATTAATTATTTTAATTATCATTCCTTTCGTTGTTGTTACTCACTAATGTTTATCTATTTATTTAGTGATTGATTGGTAGATTGGACCAATTTTTATTCACCAATCACTAAATATACTTAGTAAAATTAATTAATTAATTTCAGCGTCAAATTCAACTGGCGGGTACGTTGCTGATGACTAGGGATGGCAATGGGTAAAGTACCCGATGGGCACCCGCAAAATTTATCCACAATGGATAGGGTATTTACCCGCTATACGAGTACGGGGTATGGGTATGGGTAAAAACCCGCAAATTTGGGGATGGGTGCGGGTATGGGTATCTAAGTACCCACCCCGCCCCATACTCGCATATATATATATATATATGCTTGAACTTTATTCTACAATTATGCATTGAATTTTTGTATTATTATATTACTTATGTGAAGTTATATAAGATTAATATAAAAATATATTTAATAATAAAGTAAACCAAAAAATTTATTTTGGTTTATATTTTTAATAGAAAAATTTATTTACTATTTTATATCATTTAATTAGGTTAACACAATTTAATTATTACATAGTTAATATAAGATTGACTTTTTTTAAAATATTATTTATATATGACACACATAAAATATTTTTTACACAAATATTTTTGTTAATAAAATCATATTGATGTTTAAATCATAAAGTGAATGATAAATAATAAATATATTATAAATATTTTATAAATTTTACAATCACCTACTATTACCGTAAACTTATTATTTATTAATAATATTTAAATTTTATTTTTATATTTTAATTTAAAATAATATTTTTCTATGTAACATATGTATTACAAGCACAACTATAATCTATTGAATCTAAATAATATTATTCTTACTATTTATTCACATTCAAAGAAGTTTTTGAAAAGATATAAATATAAAAAATTATTACTAATTTTTATTTGTTAATTTTTTTTAGATAAAAAAGTATAATTTTTTTAATATACACGTATATTTCTTTATTATAAAATTTTATTGTAACTATTTATCTTTTATTCAAATTCTTTTTTTTAAATTTATATACATTATAAATATTTAATTCACTAAAATAATTTTTCAAAAATTTATATTTTTGATAAAATATTTTCGTATAGTATATGAGTTAAAAAATACTAGTATTAATACATATATATATATATATATATATATTAATTATATTATATTATTTTAATTAAATCTATTATTTTTCTTACAATTTCAAATTCAAAAGTTAAAAAAAATATTTTATGTATCAACTTTCTATTGTTAGTATTGAACTTCTCTACCCTAACTCTATTCTCATTCTCAATGTCTGTCTCGCTAAAATTTAATAAAACTATGAAATGTTATTCATTAGAGTTAGTTGTTAATGTCGTCACAAGAGGTTACTAAGTGATCCCACACGAAGGGACAACCATTGTACAAATCTATTTCGTTGTCGTTCTGACATTACCAACAATCAAATCTCACACAAGATAGGATTATCACTGACAAATAACTTGTGTGTTTAGTTTTGCTTATTGTTTCTAAGAATTTTAGTTTAGAAAATTATTATATTAAGATACATTTAACGTTTATGATCTTTGAATATTTATTTTTTATCTATATTTGTACCTTGTTCGGCAACTACATATTGAATTTTTGTATTATTATGCTACTTATGTGAAGTTATATAAACATATTTTTCTTTATAAATATTTTTTTCTTAAATAAGCGCGGGTAATGAGTACAAGACGGGTATGCGGGTACCCAGAGGGTACGGGTACGGGGATTAATGTTCATACTCATGCGGGTATGGGGCCGGATACAGATTTTTTTTAAAACGCGGGTATGAGGATGGGTACTGTAGTACCCTACCCATTGCCATCCCTACTGATGACGAGAGCAGTGCTCACATACCAATGCCAGAAGGTAAAGGTAGCTTCAGCTGCAACGAGGTCAAATATTTTAATGTGAAAGAAGGTCCATAAATCAACAGCTAAGATTGCTTAGAAGATTTTCAACATAGCCTAGTTAGCTACGGATGTCGTCTCACGTTACTGAATTAATGTGCCATATTGCATCATTGATGCAAATGCAATAATAATTATAAACTTCAAACTTTTCTTTAGTTTCTCTTGTCAAGTCCAGCTTCTTTCCATTTTTAACTCATGTACCAGCTTCGAGCCTCATATATAAAATTCATTACTTATATCATCTCAACATTGCTATTACAACATGTATAATGTGTTTTGTCACATGCCATATTTGCCACAATTTAGTCTTCATTATAAAATGGACTTGTTCAAGGTTGCATGATGACTCCCAATCCTGTCACCATGTAGACAGCTGCATGCCACATGCTCTACACATGACATGTACCAAAAATAAAAGGACACTTCTGCTGTCTCTGATGCACTTGCTGATATATAATTAACTAAAAAGATAGTCTTTCTTGGAGCATGAGATGTGGTCCATTCGTGGGACCTAATTTGTGCTACTCAGTTCCCAGTCACGTGTCGTCAACCATTTTGCTAACAAGTATACAAAGGAATAAGGAGTGAGGAGAAGAGAAAAAATAAAAATGTTTTTTTTATCAGCCAAAAGAAAGCAATAAAAAGGGTACCTAACCCACTCTTATAAAGAACACATAAAATCCTTCACATTTTCTCTAGTCCAAGACCATGACCTCATTAATTTGAATAAAATCTAAAATAGATTCCATGTTAAATCTTTATTCTTTAAACATTTGATGAGTGTAAAAGATATAGAGTGAAAAAAAAAAATCAAATTTATCATGACAAATAAAGAAACACAAGGGTGAACAGAAAAACATGTCATTGGAAAAAGTCCATAAAGATGCATGGAGGTGTAAATCAAGTCATCCACAACCAGTGAGTGGCTTAATTAATAAAACAATCTTTTTAACTTATGCAACATTGCAGAAGAAATTATACATAATAAGTTTTATTAAAAATTACATAAGTTAATATATTTGAAGTTGTTGGGTACCTCTTTTCGCAATGATTCCAAGACAAAGGGAAAGTGACTTCTGATGTGGATGATCTCCACACTCCTTAGTTATAAGCTGTTGTACTTATTATATAAGTTGTGGTACTAGTAAAAGTAAAGGGAAAGAACGTTTGATGAATAGAATGTGGTGCCGTCCCCTGTTCTTGTTAGGTTAGGTGGTCCAACGCTTTTTAGATTTGATTCGTTCTGACACTCTGACAAGTCAAGGTCTTTTCTTCCTTTTTGTCTTACATACGAATTCTCTGTATATATATATCCCCAAATGAATCGATGCTCTGCACAAAAATCTATCCTCTTCAATTGTTCTGTTTCAAAGGTGCAATCGAGTATACTCCTAGCACTAGCACTGATGGCTAGAAGTCCCCACCCCGTTTTGCCTGATTTGAATGAATCCACTGTGCCTGATCAAAATGAGCGCAGTCTTCCATTTCGGCTCATTTTGCCTGATCTAAATGAGCCCAGGGTTCCATTCGAGCGCGCTTGGCCTGATCTAAATGACCCCGTTCTTTCTTTTCCATATAAACCCACTTCGCCTGTTCGTAAGGAACCTGCTTTGTCTTTGCCTTATGTGAGTTTACTCCCTCCTCTCGAGGGTATTAATGACGAGAATGAACAAGAATCTGAAGAGAATGAGGTAGGTGAATGACGTGTTGTGTATAATTTAATATGCTTTATATTCCTCTCTTCGATTGCCTCTGTCTCTCTGTCTGTGTATTTAACTAATAGTGTGATTGATTGATTAATTGTTAATGTATGTGTTCGGCATCCATTCACCGCTTACTTACTCAATGAAATTAATTAGTTTCAGCGCCCAATTCCACTGCTGTTTGATGATGAAGAAAGCAGTACTGCTACCACTGCTGCCTCTAGGAAACGTACAAGAGAAAGAGAAGGAGAAGGAGAAGGTGAAGGGGAAGGTAGCTCCAAACACTCAACATGGAAGAAGATGTGTTATTCAGCAAAGAAGGCTGTTAAAAAGTTCGTCAAAGACACATGGAACTAATGTGTGATGATGTATGATTGGATGCACACGGAATAATTAAGCGCACGTTTATGTTTCTGTTTGTTTTTGTTTGCTCTTTAATTAGATGCTTTGGAGGGTCTACTGTGGAGTCTCATGTCGTTCTGTTTTATTACTTAATTTGATGTATTTGACATGATATTGAATATTTGTACCAAATTTGTCATATTATCATTATGTAAAAGACTAGTTTGGATATATCTTTTTTTTATTTTTTTAAAATTCTTCTCTTCTTAAATGGAAGTGAAAAGAGAGCTAGGAAATAAAGTAAAATAATACCCACATAGCAGATGCACCCTGCAAGATACTTTCAAATGAAAAAGCTTACTCCACCTACTTGGCTTTGGTGATGCATAATTAAGTAAAATGATGCTTCCTCTCCTCTATCACTTATCAACTGCTTCAAACCGACACCAATAAAAGTTGTGTTCGCTTTTGCTTCAGCATGAGATGCCCCATTCGTGATTTGTGGGACTCTAATTTTTCCATGGATTTAGAATACCTTTTAAATTTATCAGTAAATACTTTTTTTTATCACAAATTAAAAACTGCATCTTGAGAGAAGCGTGAGAGGATGTGGGATGGTGGGAAAGCATAGGGGATTTTTTTTAATTTCATTTTTTATTTTTAAAAATAGTGATAAAATATAATACATTATAAAATTATTTTTTATCAAGAAAAGTGTTATAATAACAAATATGTTTTAATTATTTCTTTCACTTTCTCTTTTGTTTATTCAAATAAACAAAAAATATATATTTTTGTGAAGTGTCCTAAAAAAAAAATCCTCTCTATCTCTGGATACCATATCTACCAATTATAGAACCTCTACTTACCAACTGCCGACAAAAATAATTATTAAAGTGTCATATCTTCGTTTTCTATTTGCAAAGTTTTGTGAAGGATGTATTCTTTCTTGTTTTTATGATTCCCTTCACAAGACATTTAAAATATGAAATATAAATAAAATGTTACCAACAATTTTACAATTACTAACAGTAGTTGGTTGTTTTGACGTAGACAGATAAAGTAAATTACAGAATTTAATTTTCCAAACAAAAAACTAATTTTGAAAGAATAATACAAATCATGTTTCTTGAATAGAAAATCAATAAATAAAATTATAACTACGTTTAGAATATACTGTACATATACTTATTTTTTTAACAATTTTTAATCGCTATTGTTTTAATTAATAATTATAAATATATTTTCTTTTTTCCTTTGGAGGACATTGAAAGGTGGGGAGTGCAACCCCATGCGGAGAAATTTGAGGTTGTCTGTTTTCTGATAAATATGAAAGACAGATAACAGTAAAAAGGAGATCTAGTTCGTAGGTTTTGTGTCGTTTGCATTATTGCCTTGTGAATCTGTTTGCATAGCTGTCAAGTGAGAAAGGTTATCAGTATTATAAATTTATTGTACTTTTTTATAAATTAGAGAAAATATTAAATTTTTTTGCATTGCTTCTTCCTTTTCTTGTCTTTTTTAAATTACTTCCTCCATGAAATTTTAAAAATAGAACATGAAAATGTGAGGTTTTAATAATTATTGATGTTGGCCGGTAGAGCTTATTTACTGATATGTATCTAGACAAAAGGGACAGCGTTTTAATAATAATTTAATGATAATTGAGGTTGCTTATATACGTTTACGGACTTATAAAAGTAGATGAGGTGCGCATTTAAATAATACTATAATAATTTAACTATGATCATTACTTACTCAGCTGAACGTGGTGCTTCTCGTGACTGATGGCTAGATTAGGTTCGGTGTTCCCACACTTTTTTATTTGATTTGTCAAACACTCTTCCTTTTGCTTCACTCACTTCTTCTCCCTTTTAGTTCATTCATTCCCGCTAAAATGGGTGAAATTTTGGTCAAAAGGTGAAAAAGGAGAGAAAATGAAAGATACAATAAATGATGCTATAGAAAAAAGTGAATATAAAAATATAATTATTTCAATAATAACAAAAACTTATATATTGCCATGCACAAGTGTGTTATTGCAACTAAATTTGTTGAATTTTATTTTTCTGCTAAAAGGTTGTCCCACATGTTTTAAACAGTATCCTTTAACAAGACAATTAGCCATTCCGAATTAAAGTCGCACATTTGTCACTTTCCTATCAGTATCAACTTTTCTTGGGATTGCATCTATTTTTATCCTATGTGAATCGATGTGTATATATGGCTGTGGTTCTCTCAATTAGCCATATACACTTCACTGATATTTAGCTTATAAATAAATTGGTGGTTTTTGCTGTTGTTGGTTATGTTTCTAAACTAATGAATGGGAGGAGGTGAGGTAATTTGTGGACTATATATGCTCTCTGTTTTCTCTTATAATTGTAAGTCATTTTTTATTCATTTTTCAGATTAATATAAATGTGCATTTCTTTTATTTTTCTTATGAACCATATTTTTTAACATGGTATCAGAGCCTTAGTATCCACCATGAGCTTATAAATTATTTGCATACTCAACAGAGAGAAAATCTCACTCTCTCTTTTTGCCTTGTTCTGTACATAAAAAAAAAGCCTTGACTTGGGTTGCAATCAAATCCCTCCATGGCTCTCTCTTTCTCAAGATTCTTTTTTTTTTCAAGCACATGGAATAGTACTTGCTTTCGATACATTAGCCACCACAAGATATTTTCTCTCTCTCTTGTTCGCCGCTCCAACAAAAACTTGCTGCGTTGAGTGGGTGCCTTAACCTTCTTTTGTTGTTTGATGGATCAAGAAGGAGGAGGATCCAACAACAGATCTTGCTACTACTCCATTCTTGAAATTTTTCTAGTGGTTCTTGATGATAAAATTGCGATTTTACTGTGAAACTCTGTTTTCCTTTGTCGTTTTGCTCCCAAGATGGTGTCATTTTTCAAGAATATAGTTTTGCTCTGGGAATAACGGTTCTAGTTTAGCACTAAATCATTGGTTAGATAGGTTTATTTGAAGTGAAATTGGATACGCGTCGTTGTGGAACTCAATTCAATTTGGTCAGAGGCAGTAGAGGTGCCTTCGCTCCTTGGTTGCCGTCCTATTTGTGGTGGAAGTTCGACCAGAGATGTTTCTAGTAAACGCAAATCTTTGAATACTTGTAGGTTCCCAACAACTGAGTTTCTTGGTGGAAGGATTGATGTTTCTCTGCATTTGTCTAAATCTGGTATCTTTTTGTCATCTTCAATTATGGCCTTGGTTGTGGAGTTCACAGGCTGTTTGGATCAAGATCTTTATTTGAAGATTTCTCTTATATTCATGAAGATTGACATATGCTCCTGTTAATTTGTTATTGTTTCAACCTTGTTTTGACTTGATTTTTGGGCTTCTTCCAAGTGGTTAAGTGTTGAGGTATCACTTCTGTTTGGTGGTTAAGTTCTCGTGGATTAAGCTTCTATTCTACGGTGGTTAAGCTTGATTTTTTCTTCATCATGGTTTCAGCTTCTGCCCTATGGTGATTTTCCTACCTTAGTGGTTAAGTCAATGTTGATGAAGGTTTCTTCTTTAGATGGTCAAGCATTGATTTTTTATTACTGGATGATTAAGTGTTGAAGCTCATTTTTTGTCTATTATTCTAGCTTTGATCATATTACAGGTTAGCGTCTTTGTGTTTGTTTTTTCTTTGGCCAATGTATTTCTAGCTTTTTATGTTTGTGTTGTTCATTCTAAGCTTGAAATGCTAGCACTTCCTGCTTGCAGGGAACTGTTAGAAATTAGTTAAGATTGTTAGTAATTAGTTAGTTTTGTGAGCTATATAAGCCCTCTGTTTCCTCCTGTAATTGTAAGTTATTTTTCATTCATTTTTTGGTATAAAAATAAGTGTGCATTTCTTTTATTTTTCTTGTGGACCATATTTCTTAACATATCTCTTGCTAATTTTTCACAACCTAGCCTTCATTATAATTATTTACGTGCTTTTGACTCATTTGAATTTTTTTATTTCCCTTTAAATTCCATCGGCCAACTCTGCTTTAACGTTGAAAAAGATGGGCTTTTAAATGAAATGAAAATGTTATACATGTACAAAGTGTATATATTTAAAGAAAGATAAAAAAAAAAAAGGTTTAACAAAAAAAAATATAATATAAATAAAAAGCTATATAAAATAATATATTATATATGAAATTACAGTCGATATCGATCCTGTCGCAAAACTTGACTTTGGATGACAAGTGAAATTGGATTATCTCACGTCAGATTAATAGAAGTCCAGAAACTTCTCATTAAATTTTTTACCTAAAACTGTAAGTACCTTTAAAAATAATTAGATAAGTAGACCCTTTAAATAGCTAACCTTTTTTTTTAATAATTATTTATTGTGTATAAAAATTGTAAATTTTATTTTACTAGACAAACAGAATTCGAAACTATTGTTTATTATATTTTGTGACAACATTTTTAAAGCGTAGCAAGGGACAGGAGCTCCCTAATCTCAGTAAGCGAATGCTACAAACCAAATGGTAGCTTATAAATCCATGCGTATCAAGTATCCTACACCTTAGAGGAAAGTATCTACTAATTGGTTAAGGATTTTATCTTTTCCATAGATATTATGTTTCTTAATTCTTACTTTCTTACGAAGATTTTACTTTGGTAAAAGTAAAATTAGTAGAATTATTAATTCAGGTTACTTAATTTAGATTGAATCAGTTCCAATCCAGTAGTGAGTTAAGGTGAGTGGGGTTAAAAAACAAATTTCAAAATAATTCAATTTTTTAAAATATAGTCTAAATTCAACTTTTTACAAGTAACAAGCTCATGCATATATGTATATCATCTAATCATTTATAACTTTAAGATAAAAGACTTTCAATTAATAGTGATAAAGTGAATTACAGAACTATAAAGAAGTACAAATTTTAGGTATTTTTAGTATTGTTTTTAATTTAAAATTAAAGTTTTGTTTTGATAAAAATAAATGTATAATGCTATTGTAAAGTATTAAAATAAAAATTTCATTAAAAATATTTTAAAAATTATACCCAAATTT